TTGTGCGGTCCTGATGGCGGTTGAACGTCAGTCTTTGAGGGCTGTTCTTGATGACGTCGTTCCATGTTCTGCGTGGTGTTCCACTTCTGTCCATTATATTTCTTGTATGACTCTCTGTGGTAGTTAGTAACAGGGCATTTTCCTCAGATAGCCAAACCATCTTATGTGTTGCTGTTAATAAGCTCAATAACTGGTTTCCGTCCTAGTCTTCTTCTCGTTTCTTCATTTTATATATATATATATATATATATATATATATATATATATATATATATATATATATATATATATATATATATATATATATATATATATATATATAAACATCTTGTGCAATATATCCTTGCCATTGAGAGTTAGAAAGAGAATTCTTGCTTGCTACATACATCCAGTTTTAACATATGGCTGTGAATCCTGTACAATCGGTAGGCAGGCCAAACAATTTCTAGAGGCCTCAGAGATGTGGTTTTACAGAAGAATGCTTAGAATACCTTGGACATCTAAAAAAGAGCAACCAAGAGGTTTTGAAAGAGGAGGGGGGGCCAGAAGACAACTTATCACAGACATCAGGAGACAAGTCATCATTTTTCGGCCATGTTATGAGAAGAGGGAAAATAGAACATGTGACCACTGGAAAGATCTGTGGAAGGAGGGATAGAGGAAGACAAAGAGAGAAGATGCTTGAGTCGTGTTGCCTGGAATGGAGGTGTATCGGCACACGAACTGATACATGCTGCAGGAGATCGCATAATATAGAGAGGCATGATCGCCTACGCCAGTCGGCAAGGCACCTGATGATATATATATATATATATATAGATTCTCTTGTTACTCACGTGGCTGTACTGGAACATCTAACCTCTGCTATGATTTTGCGTTCATTAGTTTAGTTAAGGGTCCATGTCTGACACTGGTAGCACAAAAGTGGCCAAAATGTGAAGTGCGTGGGGGTTCATAGCAAAAACAAATGGACTTCACTTAGTGCAACAAAAGCTCGGCATATAATATCAAAACGTCTAGTTTGAGAAAGCAGGTAGAGCCAGTCACTGCTTTCTTCCGCCAGATTGAGAATCAGCTGGATACACATGTCATAATTGTAACTGACTCAAAGAGCATGCTGAGAAAGGTGGAGACAGACAGGCTCCGTGCAGAGTGCCAAGCATCGCTTCAGAGGTCCCGGGTAGTTAGCATCCTTCAGATATTTCTCCAGGTTATGAAGGTATGTTGGGAAAAGAGCAGACAGATATACTGGCCGGTTTTGCACCACTTAGTGGTGAAGTGATGTTTGACAAGCTAGATGTTGTGAAGGCTCTTTGAGAGTGAATGAACTGAACAGTTCGGAGGCCATACAGATCATTACAATCTGAGGAGAATGGCACCGTAGAAAGTTAGCAGGAGATATAGCTGACGATCAGCTCTCAAGGGAAAAGGCAAGACAGATGTACAATCAGACAATTACTGGTAATCCAGCTGATTGTGGCTTGGAAGGCAATGAAACAGCAGATAGACTATCCAGCAGCTGAAGTTACATGGTGCAGTCAGAGTGACTTAACCCACCAAGAGACTTATGACATTAATACAGTTTAGCATCCAGGAAAGATGGCTGAATACACACACCAGATTCTCTTCTCGAGACTGGCTTCATTCCCACTCTAGAGATGCACAGTGTATTATATTCAGGCTAAGGACAGGACACAACAGACATGGTCAACATATGTTCACATTTTTTAGTATTGGTAACATGGAGTTGTGCCTCTGCAACTTGTGACCAAAAATTCTGAGCATGTGCTTCAACACTGTCAACTGTATGCTGCCAACAGAGACGCAATTTGGCCTGTTCCAACCAAAATGAAGACAAAGCTGTACTGTACAAAAGGAAATATGGATGATAACTTTCATAAATTATTCATAAAGGCTACCTGCTTCCTGATATAAGTTTTCTGACAAGAATCAAAGCAGTGTGCTGTAAAAATCATTCAAGAGCTCAAAATATTACATCAGTCAGTACAGAACAGGAGCCAGCACAAACACATCCAAGAACAGGCTTAACTGAAGACTGTGGGACTTATGGGGGTGCTCGAAGTGCAATGTAGATAATCCTGCAATGAACAATGAACGGATACCACACACACACAAACAACAGCAGCTGTGCAATTAAAAATTATCATCAGATCAATGTTTAATTGCATAGGTCACCTAACATCACAAACATATAAAAGGATCAACAAATATGTGAGCCCTACTCAGTTAGGGTTGCCAGATTTTGTAACTGGTCATTAAAAAAAAAAGAAGAAAAAAAGAAACGGAATGATGACTCGTCTGTTTATAACAATTCTCCCTATTAATAAGCTATAAAATAAACACACATCAACATATTAAATTTTCTTCACAGGAACAAAATTTGGCAGAAAAAAAAAATATAGAGGAATTCGAGGAAGACAGACTATCTGGCAGCCCTACAAGTAAGGGCCTGATTTTTTTCAAAAATTACCTTGGCTCTCAGGTCGACCCAGCCTTGAGTGAGTACGAGATAAATATAACAGATAAAGTCCTAGGAAGGAAAGGTTGCCGGCCGGATGCTGATCACATCACCAATCAAGTGCCTTTTGGTCTATAAAATGTAGGTCTAGCCCTATATACCCAATACACTTGAAGGTGTGGAAAAGGGCACTTTACTTAATTTACTACTGTAAGTAAACAAGTAATGAAGGTACTCATTTAATGTCATTAGTGCATCAGGTAAAAGATACTAGAATATTATTTTTATTGACCTATCAGCCCTCAGTGGGTGTTGTCTACACATAATAATATTTCTAACTTTGACTTGGTTGGTTAATTTTGCAGCTTGTCTTATGTTTTATATCGTCCTCGCAAATAGTTTCTCCTGTCTGTGCTACAGCAGGAAAGTACTTGATGTAGCTATGACAACAGTGCCCTAACAATAACTGTCTAAGAGGCTGAGCTTAAACCTGAGATCTGCTTTGTTAGGTAGTAGTTTGGGGAAAAACAGTCAGAAATGAACTGCAGATTAGAGACAATACTGACGAACTAGTCAATTATGACAACTGTTTCAATTCAGATTTAAACCCAAGCCCTTGGGACAGCAGGCAAGCATCTGGCTACTGCGCCTCCACAGTTACTCACAGGCTAATTTTTATTTGGACAAAAAGGTGCCATAAAGTGTTTTAAAACCAAGTGCCGGTACTCAAAAAAAGTGTTTTTAATAACAGGTGCCGGTACTCATGACAAAGTATTAATTTCTTTTAAAAAGTGCCAGTACTCATCACAAAGCATCTTTTACATTTGTGCAGAAAAAAATGGTGCCCAAACACAAAGGTGCCGGTGCTGTGAACCATTGTATACCGCCAGATTAAAAAAACACACCTGGTAATACTGATGAACATAACTTCTCAATGAAAATGTAAATCTGAACATAGAAGACAAACAATAAATACCAGAATTTGTTGACTTAGCAACAAGTCTTTGCATTCACTGGCTATAAACTCCGTGAAAGATCTCATTGTTTGTCCATTTTTGGTCTTGTTTCAGAACTTGAAGTTCATATGCAGATCTGCTTTACAGATCTGGCTTATGCATATAAGCACATTGCTTGGTTCCTCAGGTCTCAGACAGATGCATTCTAACTTCAAAGGAAACACCCCCATAAATAGTTGACTTTTACAAGATGCTTGTCTATGTGGCCCCCACCCCCCCCCCCCTTTCCCCAAATAGGTCCTGGAATCCTGTGTCTGTTTGTTTGATGTTTGAACAACGGATCAACATCGTTTCACAAGAAAGGTAATATATAAGTGCTCCGTTCTACTTCTAACTCAAGACTGAGTCCTAAGAATCTCAGTGCAGTGCACAAACTTCGTAGCACTGACGAGGATGTCTATTAAGTCTTCATCAGTATTCAAAAGCATGGACAGTGATTAAACAATACAAAAGACTAAATATAAAAACTGACTTAATCATTTGGACACAGTCAGTGGAACCGACTAATGAAGACTTATTTAAATGCCATGTGCAAATATATAATAATACTAATAATAAAGCTTAAATCTTGAGAAGATCAACATCTTTGCACCGGGTTTTATCCAGTCTGGCTAAGTCTCTCCCAGCAGAAAAGGTATCTACTTAGCTAGATCATTACACTAAGCACAGACCCTTTAGCACCAGCAATGATTCCCAGTGACAGTGACAATTTCACTAGTGTACCAAACGATGCGGTCCCTGAAATGAACCCACAACCCTCACAGTATGAAGCAGTGAGCTGAACTTCTTAAGTACCAGGAAATTTAGCTGAACATTACAAAGAAACAATAAACATAATGCATGTAAACAGAGTTGAATGTTGACTTAAGAATCGATATCACAGCACACAGTGCTCCCCTTAGTGCTCAGTCCCCATCTTCAGCAGCAAGCAAAGAGTTTCAATTCTGATGGTACAAGTAACCGTCTGACTGTATATCTGTCTCATCCTTCCTCTGAGTGTTGAGCGTCAGCCAGATTCCATGGTAACTCCTTGCAGTGCCATTTTCCTTAGACTATTAACAAAGTGTAAAAGCCTAACTGTCACAGGTACAGGAACTCATATACCAAGTTGGGTACTAGAATAAACAAACAGGTTTCTATAGCATGTTTAGGCTACACAGTAGTCACATCGTTCGTTGTCTGGTACACATGGAAAATATCTGATCACACATGGCATGTTGGTTGGGACTGAAAGAGTTAACTACGTGGAGATTTCCCAATATAATAAATGGCTAATAACCAGGCAGTGACTAGAAGTGTACCCAGTTCAACATCACAAGCTTACAAACAAAGTATGTTGAAAAATCATGTATAAAAACATGAAAACTGATTAAATGCTTTAGAGATCCCTGACTAACATTGGCAATACATAAAACAAGTCTAAAACATAAGTTTCAAAAACTGCAGTTTGCAGCAAATAAAACAGCAACAACTGTATTCGTCAATGATGACCCCAACCGTCTATGTCAAGAGCTGCCATAATATTTTCTGACTGTGTTGTCCAAAAGCCAGTCTGTCCCCCGGTCAATGGGGTGGACTATAAATGGGATGCTGCCGAGTCCTGCTGCTACAACGCCCCAGATTTTCACTGGATGTGGAAGAAACTTCATGCTTGCTAATGCGTGCCGTGTTGCCCAGCAAATTCGGTTAATGGTGAACCCCGGGATGGCCACTGATGCCAAACCTTGCCAGATAAGAGTGTCTGCTGTGGCAATTCCTACTTGTCTGTATTTTGTTTTCTCATCCACAAACGGTTTCTGCAGAATAAATCATTTGGGACATAAAGAAATTGTCTCAATCTAAAAAGGACAACCGAATAAACAAGAATATGACAACAAAAGGGGAATTAACCAGGTTAACTGCAGGCCGCATCAAATTTCTTATGGCTTAAAAAAAAAAACATCTGAATTACAGCTGCTCATCTACAAGAGTGTCACATAAACCACAAACTCTGCAGCTCTATTTATGACCCCAAAAGATCTCTAAAATGTTTGTGGTCATGAGTTCTTCCCATTCATCAGCTGTAAACTCTGGTGGAATGTTCTGATTGTTCATCCACTTCGGGACTTGAGTCTTTTTCCAAAACTTTATATCTGATTATTCATTTGTGTAATGCAATTTTTTTCGTTATCTGAAGCCCTACTCTGGCTCTTGCCAGGGGCCGCAATATAGCCCGGCCATAAATATGATCTAATGGCTGAACGCAGTTACTGGGACCTCTCCACGCAAGATCCCCATCCACATGGTGGCACTTTGTGCCATCAGGTGTTTATCGCTCGTGTGATGTCCTGGTGGGGTAAAAGAAGATATATAGATGCCAAAACATGAGTTTTAAGTGTACATCCATTTTACAGATCTGCTTATTTGCATGCAGGCTGTTGGTTCCTTGACTATCAGGTAGATGCACTCTGACTTTATTGGAAACCCCTAAAAAAGTGACTACTATGACATGCTTGTTAGGGAGACAGTGAGTATATCCCCCCCTCCCCAATAGGGTCCCACTCAGGGAGGGAGTAATAAATTAATTAGATCCTTTGTCTTCACATTCACAACTAAAAAACTCCAGCAGAAAGTTCTGGTTGTTTGTCCACTTCTTGACTTTAGTTTTGTTCCATAACTTTTCTGTGCAAGCACATCCATTTTACAGATCTGGCCTTTCTTGAATGCAGACTGTTGGTTCCTCCCCTTTTAGGCAGATTTACTCCAACTTACATTAGGTTGAAGATTTTCCTTCTTCTGTGTTTGTCCTTAATAGGGTAGTTGTCATGATATTTTGTGGTTTACAGTTAAACTGCGACATTTCGTCTAGAACATTTGATTTCTGCAAACCTTTTTCAGTCCCCTTTTAAAACATACTTGTTATTGGGGTCGTGGATTTATTCTTTTCGCCCCGCAGATCCCGTCCTACAAGGAAAAGCAAGAAGCAAACAGCTGAACCATTTCCCCATCATCATCAATCAGTCTCCTGATCAATGCCAACGACTCTAAGGGGTCATAGTTCACCATGTCATACAGTCAGCAGAATCGCCCATGAAGTCAGTGTTCATGCCCTGCCTCTATCATCCAGGTATTTATCTCTTTATCTTTCCCTTGCCCTTTTCCAATTATGCCCGTCAGCTATAAGATTGTATTTACCACTTTTTATGGGGCTGTAAGACAAAGGGAATTCTGAACCTGGAGATTTAGGGTCACCATCGGAGTACAAATGGGCCCTTTACTTTACTTACTCGTGAGTCACTATCATGTAGTGGCTAGACGTCCCCTGCGGATCTGAAGGTCGTGGGTCCAGGTTTTTGCGGAGCCATGCGTTTTTTTCCAAAAATGACCTGGGCTCCCAGGTCAAATAGCCTACCATTACCAGGTAAAGTCCTGGGAAGTAAAGGTAGCTGCCGTGATGTTGACCACATCGCCTAAGGAGTGTCGATTGGTCTATAAAATATAGGTCTAGCCCTATATGCCCAATACACCTGAAGAAGTGGAAAAGGTTCCTTTAGACTTGACTTACTCACCTTCCACTTCAGATAGCCCTTGTCTATGGAATCTGCCACCACGTATGCGGTGGCAACAGCATAGCTCAACCTGACCACAGACACTGGTACCAGAACTCGAAACGATTCACCGACTTCATTAGCATAACCTAGCAGAATGAAAACAAAATTATGCAAGAATTCTTCCGCAACTACCAGTAGAATCATACAAGCTAATTATTGAAAATTATGCTATTATCAAACTTTCTCAGGTGTCCTATTCAGTGCCTGAATCTTTTCCTCACCTATCGGTAGCCTGGAATCTGCCTAGTTCCTGCCTAGTTCTTCTTACTTATGAGGCAATTACCACTATTGTGCCTGTTCTGTAAGATAGCAGGTGAATGAAAACTACAATGCCTGTTCACTACTGTGGGTATACAGCAGAGACTTTACATATTCTATTAACAAAAGAGAGACAGCTACTATAAAGAGATGAACAGCCCAGGTATAAAGAAGCTGGGCCCAGGTATAAAGAGATTAGGTATAGAGAGATGGAACAGCCAGGTATAAAGAGATGGAACAGCCCAGGTATAAAGAGATGGAACAGCCCAGGTATAAAGAGATGGAACAGCCAGGTATAAAGAGATGGAACAGCCCAGGTATAAAGAGATGGAACAGCCCAGATATAAAGAGATGAAACAGACCAGATATAAAGAGATGGAACAGCCCAGGTATAAAGAGATGGAACAGCCCAGATATAAAGAGATGGAACAGCCCAGGTATAAAGAGATGGAACAGCCCAGGTATAGAGATGGAACAGCCCAGGTATAAAGAGATGGAACAGCCCAGGTATAGAGATGGAACAGCCCAGGTATAAAGAAACCGAATAGCCAAGATATAAAGAGATGGAACAGCCCAGATAAGCTCATGACTGAGCCATTGATTATCTAGTGTTTCTAGTCTGCCCAGATCAGTCTCTTGCATTGGATTTCACCACAATCACTAGTCTACTGTTATTATTACTTCCACCTCTGCCTTTATAGATTAGCAACAATGATTTCACTGATAAAGAGTCCAGTCGAAACGTTAGGTTGTTTCTGGGTACGTTCTTTCCTTCCCTCTTTGTTGAACCTCATAGTCATAGTGTGTGTCCAGCAGTTTTGTGTGTGTGTGTGTGTGTGTCCAATGGTACCTAACGGTGCACATTCCTGCAATTGTTGTCCGTATTTCCCACTTCTGCAGTGTAGACAGGGAGGTCTTTGCGCTTGAGGATTTAGGGCCGCATGCAGCCTTTTCTCTTTAAGGATAATTTTTTCTCCAGAGCTATTTTAACACATACTTTGTGGCGAGGAGCGGCTGGCCAAATGGTTAAGAATACTCGGCTCTCAAACGAGAGACAGAAATTTGAATCCTCTGTAAGTTGCAGATTTTATTTTTCTGTCAGGGGCAACAGTAAAATCATAACCTGCGCAGTCTGTGGTGACAGCCCTGGTCATGCAACTCTAAATCCTCAGTCTGTAACCTGTAAGACCCCCTCCCTGATTTCACAGCAAAAGTGGTAAAGACATTTTGTGGTGAGTACTGACACCTTTTTTTTTAAAAGAAAAAAAAAACCTGGCATTCAGTGAATTCATATTCTTCTTCTTCGCATTCACTGGCTGTAAGCTCTGGCTGAAAGTTCTGGTTGTTCGTCCTCTTCTGGACTCTAGTCCTGTTCCAGAACCTGAGTATTGTGTGTACATTCATTTCACAGGTCTGACTCATCTGCATGCAGACTGCTGGTTCCTTGCCTCTCAGGCAGATGTACTCCGCCTTCGAAGGAAGATCCCAATGAGTCGACTCATACCCCCGTGTGGGTTCCGGGGCCCTATTGTGGGGAAAACAAGAATAGACCCACTGCCTCCCCAAAAGCATGTCGTAAGAGTCGACTAACTGGGGAGCTTCCTTTGAAGTCGGAGTGCATCTGCCTGAGAGGCAAGGAACCAGCAGTCTACATTCAATTTAATCAGATCTGTAAAACTGATGCACACGCAACACTCAGGTTCTGGAGCAGGACTGCAGTCCAGAAGTGAACGAACAACCAGAACTTTACGCCAGAGTGTACAGCTGGTGAACGCGAAGAAGAAGAAGAAGTCGACTCATACAACATGCTTTTGGGCAGGCAGTGGGTCTATTCTTGTTTCCCCCACAACTGGGCCCCTGAACCCACACAAGAAAATTCATATTTATTCTATATTATCTCAACTGCAGTCAGCACTATCTTCCTAACTATAATTCTCTCAGTACCAGTCACCATGTATGTTGTGTGCGTGCCATCTATTCTTTCCACCTGAAAGGTTTGACAAAAAGATCAGACCATCTCAGTCTGGTTGGCAAACCAGCTGGACCTGAAGGTTTGACAATACAAGATGTTTTAAAAAATGTCTCAGTGCTGGAGGAGGCAGACCCAGCAGTCACCAGGGCAAAAACCCAGATCGATCGATCAGTTTGTCCCCTCCTGCCTGCATCCTAAACGAAACGTTTACAATAAACATAATGACATATCAATCTGGATGACAGGGACCAACAAGGCAGATACCAGATACATGGTTCAACCTCCAAAGAAATTGACAGTTAGGATAGATGTAAAGGAATCACCAGCCTGGTGTCCACCAGCAGTCAGTCCTAAGTCCTACCTTCAATTCCCTATGCAGGGGAGTGCAAGGCAAGAAAATAATACTTCTTCCTCTTCAGCACTCCGAGCCCTTGAGGTTCATTGCTGCAGTTATCACCCGCCTCCAATAATCTCTCTGGTTGGCCTTCTCTTTCCACTTGGTGACACCAAGTGTTTGCACGTCTGCCTGGATATTATCTCTCCATTGTCTTTTTGGTCTGTCTCATGGTCTACGACCATTCATCTCCCTTGTACAGTTTTTACTTCTATGTTATCTGACATTCTTTTAATTTTCCCCCGTCCATTTCAGTCTATGGCTATCCTCCGAATAATGGTCCCAAATTATCCAGGAAAAAATATTCTCTAACAAGGCCTCAGTCACATGTAAATTGTGGACTTCTTTTCAGCGACTATACCACCACCGCCGAGAGTGGGGCTTAACTAGATGGCTGGGACTCACAAGCAAAAAATAAAATGAAGGAAGCTGCAGAAGATGCAGTAGCTACTGCTTGTGAGTCCCAGCCATCTAGTTTAGCCCTGCTCCGCCCTGCACGTAGCGGCGCGGGAGATACTCTCGGCGGTGACTTTACCTCGGCAGAAGCTTTTCCGCAGTATGCTGTGTAGTCGCCTGAAAGAGGTCCGCAATTTACATGTGATTGAGGCCCTGTTAGGGTATATTTTCGACCTCGATAATTTGGGACCGTTTTTCGGAGGATAGCCCAGTTGATTATTAGCTCTCATTATGCCAGTGATCAAAGGTAATTTAAACAGATTATGAATTTCGTAGTTGCTTCTCCCTCTCCATTCCCCGCTGTTTGAATCTTTGATGGGTCCAGAAATTTGTCGTAGACTTGGTTTTCAAAAACCTGTAATAAGGCTTCACTTCACCATCTCAATCTCTGTTACTTTTAGTTGTTCTCCAAGTTTCAGATCAAGTATAAAAATACTAATAATTACTTAATTAAACTTAAATATTAAGTTAGTTATTACTTTCTTACCAAGATATCTCAGCAGCGAATCTTTGAATATGTCATAGTCTTTGACGTTATTGTTATCCTTCTGTGATGCCATCCCGGAGTGTGGTATATCTTCTCTAAGTTACTAGGTAGCAGAACTTGCTGGCAAGGCTGCTAGTGTGTTCATTGTTTTTGACCTTCAGTGAAATCGAAAGTAGGAACTGAAGAAAGGTGAGAGTAGCTTCCCTTAATTTATTTATAGTTATTGTTTTGGTCGCTCTGTCATTAACATCACTGTGTGTCTTGCCGACAAACGTAAACAGTCATGTTTCGTCATGCCACACAACCAGTTTAATCACGAACCAGGTCTTTGTTCTTGTCTCGTCCCATCCATATGACTAAGCTCCCCTCCCCCAGGTCTCTCTCTCTCTGTGCCTTCGCCTTTGACTTCTCTCACCAACCCCCACAAATCTTGCTTGTTGTAAGTATTCGAGTTTACTCATAATAAGTCAGAAAAATACCGATTATCCATTTCTAATTTGTATGACAACTCTATGACTGTCGTATTTCGCTGTATCTTGTCAGTCGTAGACTACAGTAACAATTGATTATCATGAGGCACACAAAAAAAAAAAAAAAAAAATTAATCCTTCGAGCTCAAACACAAAATCGACTACATTTCACAAACGGTTTCACCAGGGTAACCGCAAGGTGAGTCATGGCACAACTCTCCTGTGCTTGCAGTTACTTTCATATTTGTCCCAGGGTATGTAGGTATTGTTAGCAATGAAAAAGCTGATAGATTAATAGGTTCTGCACTAGGTGTTGATGGCCAGCCTATGGATCACGCCGACACTGTTAATGCCCTTAGAGAGAACGGGCGATCCGAGAATTTCGGAACCAGCGTGTCCACATAACTGCTAAGAATACAAGAGCTAGGAGTAAAGATCGGCACAGCCAAGCATGAGAAACACACCGGACGCACAAGAAGTCTCGTTAAACATCGCAGGACTGTTACTATTATTGTGCGACGCTGATGAATATGTTAAAGGGTGTGTCTGATCACCTATGAATGTGTCCGGAGTGCTGTGAAGATAATCCAACTCATAACCTAAGTTTTCATATCTCTCCAAGCTGCTAATAAATGGTGCAGAACCATTCGTAATTTACTACTAAATTGCGCAATGCTAGCCAAAATGTATTACCAAATGGTGCAGAACTAGTCAATATATCAGTATCTTCGGTGCATTTCCCTGCATATCGGAAGTCACAGGAGACAAAATATTGAAAGGATGTTAATTACCCGGACCTCTGAAGCAATACTTGCCAGTGTGCACGTTGCATATTTGTCTCTTCCCTTCTCAACATGCTCTGGGAGTCAGCTACAAAAGTAACACTGTTACTGGTTAAATCGAAATTGAATCTAAATTAAGATTAATGTTCATTTCTGTAAGGCTGTTTTTAATGCAATAATTCAAATTTTTCCTAGGTCTTCCGCTGATGCTATACGCGTTGTAACGTTTCTTAGGTTATTATCTGCACCACTGGGTGGTAAATGATAAATGACAAGGCAGATGTGGTCAAGGCCCTTTGGGAACAAGCAAAGGAATCATTAGAGAAACAAGATTATTATGGCCTGGAGAGAATGAGGCACCTGGGTGTAACCAGAGGGTCTGGCCGGCTCACTACACTCAGAGGAGAGTCAAGACGGACATATAACCAGATTGTGACCAGTACCATCAGTTTTGGAACTCTGCGCTGGGTGCTGAAGATGAGGACGGAGCACGCTTGGGAATGCCCTGAGTGCTGTGATGTCAATTCTTCTTCTTCTTCTTCTTCTTCTTCTTCTTCTTCTTCTTCTTCTTCTTCTTCTTCTTCTTCTTCTTCTTCTTCTGCCTTTATTTCCCCCAATGGAGCATAGGCCCTCAACCAACTCACGCCAAGTCGTTCTATCCTTCGCCATTGCATGGAGCTCTCCCCATCTTTCTAACTTCTTTCTCCAGCTCTCTTCTCCGTGTGTTTTTTGGCCTTCCTTTATTCCTAATGTCAATTCTTGACTCTACTTAACTCAACTCAACTCTTAGGTTATTTTCATATTCTCATCACATAACCTAAAGTGCAATTTGTGCTATTTTGTTATAACGTTGCGAATAAATAGTATTTTAAATATATTCTTCCAGGCAGTGGATTTTAGTTACAAAAATGTAAAATAAGTTTGCAGCTGCTGGTGCTTCTACTATTACTACTACCATCACCACCACCATACACACTACAAATAATACTACCACTGTACGATGACTATTACAACTATAACCACCACGGAGACAACCACCACCATCATCAATACAACTACTTACCACTACTACTACTACTAGTACTACTACTACTACTACTACTACTGCTGCTGCTGCTACTACTACTACTACTACTACTACTACTACTACTACTACTACTACTACTACTGCTACTACTAGTACTAGTACTACTACTACTACTACTACTACTACTACTACTACTACTACTACTACTACTACTACTACTACTACTAGTACCACTACTACTACTACTACCACTACTACTACTTCTACTACTACTACTACTAGTACTACTACTACTACTACTACTACTACTACTACTACTGCTGCTGCTGCTGCTACTACTACTACTACTACTACTACTACTACTACTACTACTACTACTAGTACCACTACTACTACTACTACTACTACTACTACTACTACTACTACTACTACTACTACTACTACTACTACTACTACTACTACTACTACTACTACTACTACTACTACCACCACCACCACCACCACTACTACTACTACTACTACTACTACTACTACTACTACTACTACTACTACTACTACTACTACTACTACTACTACTACTACTACTACTACTACTACTACTACTACTACTACTGCAGTTGCTGCTGCTACAACAACTACTACTTATACTACTACTTTTACTACTACTATTTCTATTACTACAGATAGAATTACAAAGGTTAGATTTTTAAGAGCATGCATCTTTCCCATTGCAACATACGCCTGTGAGACCTGGACACTTACTAAACAAGCGGAACAGCGCATAAATGCATTTGAATATAAATGTTACAGACAGGTTCTAAGAATTTGGGTAAAGAAAAGAACAAATGCATATACTTCAAGAGCTGAGTATTGAAGAGGGTTGGCTAGTAAAGACTAAAACAAAGAAAATTGAAATATTTTGGTCACTACTGGAAGTCTAGAGAGAACAATAATGGAGGGCTATATGCTGGGACCAAGGAGAAGATGGGTGCAGGATGTGGCAGATGATCTCCAGATGGGTGTATCAGACGCAGGACATCTTGCTCAGGATAGGAAGGTTTTCCGGAGGGTTGTTATGGCAGCGAGGTTTCCCGAGGGACATGCTACTGAATGAATGAATTTCTATTACTATTATTGCTACTACTGCTGCTGTTACGACTATTACTACTTATACTACTACTTTTACTACAACTACTATTGCTACTACTGTTGCTGCTACTACTACTACTGTTACTACAAATGCTGCTACTGATGTTACTGTTGCTGCTACTACTACCACCACCACTACTATATATTGCTCAGAAGCTCTGGAACATGTAAGCTACGACAACAAGGACATCTACAACAACATCATTATCAACAACAATAACAAAAACAACAACAACAACTACTACTACTACTACTACTACTACTACTACTACTACTACTACTACTACTACTACTACTACTACTACTACTACTACTACTACTACTACTACTACTATTACTACTACTACTACTACTACTACTACTACTACTACTACTACTACTACTACTACTACTACTACTACTCCTGCTGCTGCTGCTGCTGCTACTACAAACTATGTTAGCGAATAACTACGAGGTAGCGCCATTGACTAGGGGCGTCCGTGGCTTAGGCGTTGCGAGTATGACTCGTAATTCCAACGTGCCGCGATCGAAACCAACTGCTGGCTGTGCGGATTTGTATCATGGTATGGGGCGTCGCAGGTCGACCCAGCCTAAAATGGGTACCAGGATATATGTCCTGGGGAAGTAAAAACAGCCGGCGTAATGCTGACCACATTATCCACCTTGCGATTGCTTGTTATACCCCACCAGGACATCACAAAAGCGATAAACACCTGGTGACACAAAGTGCCACCATGAGGATGAGGTTCACCGAGGAGAGGTCCCAGAAACCCCTTTTAGCTGTTATGGCCACATATTCAGGGTCCCTGGCAAAAACTAGGGTGGGGCTTCAAATAATGAAAAATTTACACAGACGGTTCAGTGTCAAGAGGAAAAAGAAGTGTTTGGGGCTTCTTAGCAAAAGTTAATGGTCGATGTTTGGTGCAGGAGAGCCTAGCATATAATACCGTAACATCCAGCTTAAGAATGGAGGTGGAGGCGGTCACTGCAGCTTTCCGCTGGCTAGAGAACAAGACACACACAAACATCGTGATTGCAACTGATTCAGAAAGCATGCTGAGGAAGATCAGAGAAGGTATGCTTCTTGCAGAGTGGCATACTTCGCTGCGGAGGACACGAGTGAGGAGTATTGTCTGGATTTTTTGCACCGGGTTACGTCTGTGTGTTGGGAAATGAACAGGCGGACAGACTGGCTGGCTCTGCACAACTCGGCGGAATACTGATTCATAAAAGGGCAGACGTGTTTAGTACCTTGTGGGAGAGCGTGTACAATTCAGAGGAGCAGATGGATCACCACAGTCTGGTGAGATTGATGCAGTTGGGGGTGACGAGAGGTTCTGGCAGATGCTCGAGACTCAGAGGAAAGGCAAGATGGACGATTAATCAAAATGCTACTGGCACCATTAGTATAGGAACTCTTCGCTGGCTGCTGAAGATGGGGATGGAGCGCTTATGGGAATGCCCCGAGTGCTGTGATGTCGGTTCTTGAATCAAATCAAATCATAACGAAAAATTGCACCCCACAAGGAATGACTGCTACAACTCCCACCTAGTGCCGATTGGTGTGTAAAAATAAATAGTGGTGCTCTTCCCGTTTAATTAAGACCATCATAAACTGCATGAACACCGGATGTGACCGCAAAGATCGTCTGCTACCTTCTGTATGAAACCGCAAAAAATGGAGAGATTGAAGTTTGGACATGTATTGTAAACATTGCGGCCAAATATCCTTCATAATGATTCATAAACAGGTCAGAATGACAGTCAGAATTATCTGTAATTTGTTTTCGTACAGAATTGCTGATAACATTTAGGAAATGTATTCACATTCACAAGTCAATCGAACACCCAAGTCGATGATTTGCTGACTGAATACTTTGTTTTCCCTGGTTACTTTTGTTTTCATATCGTCACCAGTAACTATTATTATTATTGGTGGAAAAACATCCACACACAGATAGCTGAACTTACGCGCCATTGTTAATAAGTTATTAAACTGGACTAATCATGTTCAACCTTTGAGTTCACCACAACAGGCGAAATTAAAGACATGAGTGAACATCATGAAAGTGAAGTGAAATGGATGAGTTCTGATTATTAAAATCTATCTTGGATTAAAGTTACTCCGTTACGACAAGACAGTGTTTAAACTTTAAAATGTTTTGACACAGCACAAAACATCGTTTATAATTTACAGTGAACTGTAGTTAATTGAGTTCGAAAGGTCAAATCACGGTACACTTTTTCTTCCGTGAGCGCCACTCACTGAAGCAGCAATCCGTGCTTATTAAAACCGGTTACCTATTACTTTCTGTTATTTTAAGTTAAAACTGTGACGTCGATTGTTTCTTGTAGAACTACAACGCTTCAATTTTGTGGGAGGCAACACTAGCGCTTACACTCCCGGGAGTTTGTGTGCTTTAGGCTTTAGTGGTCTTAATATTTCTTACAAGTGGATCCTTGCTTCCTGTTAAATGCCATAAGAATTATTAAGTGATATACTTCTTAGAGAGTTTGGTTGAGCTCTACAAAAATGGCACACATTTTCAGCGCATTAATCAGCCGTATCACCAAAAGCCATTCATCAAAATACTTATATGTCACGGCAAGTTTGCATTTAAAAAAATAAATAAATCAGATTTATCTCAAAGCAATGTTTCACCATTATTTAACTCAGTTAATTATTTATGTTGTGGGCCTAGAATGCTCAAAAAAGGGTACCCATAGAAGTATTATTTAATTTAAATAGATGATGTGCGTCAGTTGTCTAGTTTTAAAGAACAAGGTTTATTGTAGTCGTTATACTTTGAAGTCATGTTGTCATAAATGTTAGTCACTAGTTTCTAAGAGATCGCTAATGTTTTTATTGTTGCCAAGAATGTTAGTCACTGGACTAAAAGGTTAAAACGTTTCTACTGTCACCACAAATGTTAGTCACTAGTTTCTAAGAGATCGCTAATGTTTTTATTGTTGCCAAGAATGTTAGTCACTGGACTAAAAGGTTAAAATGTTTCTACTGTCACGACAAATGTTAGTAACTAGTTTTCTAACTAATAGGTCACCATTTTTCTACTTCTGCCACAAATGTTGTTTACTAGACTAACAGATTAACATAGATTCACTGTTGCTTTGAACTCTGGTCACTATTTTCTTATAGGTCACAATGAAGGTCCTTTACTTTGTAAAATATTTCAGTAACTGAAATAAAGTTGTCACTGACTTTTCAAGTTCCCCCCCCCCCCCCCCCCCCCCCACTTAATTGTCATTACTACCTGCTTGTATATTTTTATGGGCTGGGGGTCTTAAAGGATTGAAAGCCGCATGGCTAGTGCATTCTCCTCATAACTTGGCCCAAAAGAGTGGATGGTCCATATCTAGATTCTTGGCTCTCCTTGCAGATCCGGACAAGGGTTAGATTCAGGCTGGACGACTTAGTTCAGTTTAGTGGGAGTTCTCTCCCTTGGCCGCACTCGAAACAGTGAGCGGAAAAGTCATGAAACAAATGACATACTTACCTATCATCATACGGTTGCGTGTAAGGTTGCGTACGGTTGCGTAGTCATCATACGGTTGCGTGTAGGGTTGCGTAGTCATCATACGGTTGCTTGTAGGGTTGCGTAGTCATCATACGGTTGCCTGAAGGGTTGCATAGTCCATCATGCTGTTGCGTGTAGGGCTGCGTAGGGTTTGGGTTAGGGGTGTTGGTTAGGGGTAGGGGTAGGGGTAGGGGTTGGGTTAGGGGTTGGGTTAGGGTTAGGTTTAGCGTTAGGTTTAGCATTAGATGTGACAATTTTGACGACGCAGGAATTCCCAATAATCGCGCACTGTCACATACACACCCAAACAGTCGACGGACTGTGGATGCTACTGACACGGACACATCGCCACCGGTTGGGCACCAGCTGCGCGCTATTGTAGTCATATTTGACAGACTTCCAGTGGCGCCACTCCCACAAGCATCAGATTGTCGGCCAGTATTTGGAACTCCTACGTCAATATTGTCACATCTAAGCCTACCCCTAAGCCTAACCCCTAACCCTAACCCTACCCCTAAACCCTAATCCCTAACCCTAACCCTACCCTTAAACTCTAACCCTGAACCCACACCACACGCAGCCCTACACGCAACTGTATGATGATAGGTATAACCCTACACGCAGCCGTATGATGACTAGGCAACCCTTCGCGCAACCGTATGATGACTACGCAACCCTTCGCGCAACCGTATGATGACTACGCAACCCTAATAGCAACCGTACGCAACCTTACACGCAACCGTATGATGATAGGTAAGTATGTCATTTGTTTCGTGACTTTTCCGCTCACTGTTTTGAGTGCGGCCAAGGGAGAGAACTCCCACTCAACTGAACTAAGTCGTCCAACCCTCGTCCGAATCTGCAAGGAGAGCCAGATTCTTTAGTGATTTTTCCATCTGTTTCTTGGACTTCTTTATTGGTTTTTGTGTGTGTAAAGCATTGATAGTCCTTGTATTTCTCTCGTTAACTATATTTTGATTGTCATATGTTTCTAAGTTCCTGTGTGGGTTCAGGTATGGGAGGTACAAGAATAGACCTGAGAGGCAAGGAGCCAACAGTCTACATACAAGTAAGCCAGATCTGTAACATGGATTTGCATACAAAGGTTCTGGAACAAGACCAGAGTCCAGAATTGAATGAACAGCCAGAACTGTCTACGAGAACATTAGGAAGAAGAAGATGGTGTTTCTAAGGAGGTCTGCTCATTCTTTATGTGCCACATGCCTACAAGAGTACAAGGTCTATGTAGCACTTCAGCTCTCTTTCTTACTATAGTTGAAAGTTTTATTAGTATGATTCCTAGTTTGTTAAGGCTACTGCTTCAAGACAGTCTTGCAGACTCATCAGTTTAATAATGTTCACATTAATTTTAAGTTGCCATTTGAAATCTTGTTGCTCACTGTACATAACATCGGCATCTGCTGTGTCAGATTCTGTTGATTGTGCGATAACCTAAGCCGCTGTCACATGTTGTTGCAGGACCATGAAACTGTAGCAGGCTCTCCAGATTTGGAGTTTGAGGCCACAGTCAGGCTGGGCGACAAAGGGACACAATTGGAGAATGATGAGGAAGTTTTGTTGAGCCTGTGAGTTGTGTTACTATCTCATGTTTATGTAACTGTCACATGTTTGTGTCTTGTATAATTTCTTGTTATTGCCCATAATATTTGGCTGTATCTTGTCAGGTGCAAACTGCAGTAACGACTGAATAAAATTAACCAAATCTTGTGAAGGCTAACCAAGTGAACAAATGCCTACTGAAGTTAGATTTGTCAGCCAAAAGGTGCAAATATCACAGCTGTACTGTAAACAGGCATAACGCAATATCACTCAGACAAATGGAAAGAAGAAGAAATTAAGCAAATAAATGAATCTTTATAAACTGAGTCATGGGATCGGGTCCTGACAGAACCAAACTTTAAAAAAAAAAAAAAAACCTTGGCACCCAGCTCGATACAGCCTTAATTAACTCTTAGAGTCCCAGGGGATTTAGCATCACAGACCCAAATGGGTAGTAAAGAGAGACTAAAATCGACACATCATGCGTTCATTGGGCTTCTAGGTAAGAACCTATGAACGCGTGATGCATTCCCTGGGACTCAAAGAGTTAAATGGGTCATAGGTAAGTCCTGGAAAGAAAAGGCGGCCGACGTGATGCTGACCACATCACCCTCTGAGTGCCACTTGGTCTATAAAATACAGGTCTTGCCTTATAAGCCTAAAGGTGTGGAAAATGGGTCCTTTTTACTTTACTTTCTAAACTGAAATGCAAAATCAGCTACAGGAAGCCCAGGTAGATCCTCGGTAAGAGATACGTTTTTCCATTGGGGCAAAATAAAAATCCAGACCTGCACAGTTTGTGGTGACTGCATTCGCTTATTATTATCATTGTCCCGTATTAAGGTGTGTTGTTGGGTCACCAGTTCCTGTTGACTGATCAGCTTCCTCAATCTTTGACGTTCAGAAGTGATGGACTTCACGGTTGCATGCCTAAGGCTTGTCCATCCAGTCAGTTAAATCCTGTATCAAAATCTTTCTTGGTCTGCCTCTTCTCCTCTTCCTCTCTACTGAGCCCTGTAGTGCTGTTTTTGAGAGACTAGATTTTATTACCTGTCCACACCATTGCATTATCTGCCCCCTTCACTGTAGTTAAAAGAGATTTATAGTTGCTTTATAGTTGCCAGAAGGGCTATGCAGCCATTATAGCTGTGCAACTTTAAATCCCAATGCTTAACACATTTTTTTTTTTAACTGTATCTTGGCTTGTATTTGTTTTTAAAAACTCATTCTTAACTAAGTAACTCGTGACTATATGTTGGTTTCCATTTATGTAATATTTAGTTTTTTCTAAATACATTGCAACTATCAAGTTAATCCTGTCTGTTTGTCTCAGGCAAATGCACTCCACCTTCAAAAGGAACACCTCTAATAATTTGCCGCCTCCTATGACAGGCTTGTTGGGGGAGGAGGGAGGGGGGATGCAGTGGGTCTATTCTTTTTTGTTTTTATTCTCAAAAGGGCCCCTGAACCCACATGGCAAAAACTGAGTTAAGAACTGACATCGCAACAGTCAGGACATTGGCGTGAGTGATCCAGATCAGATTGCTGTCAATTTACTTTGTATACTTTAAGACATTCGTATGAGTGCTCCAGGTCAGAGCTGTCAACAGCATACACGCATTTATGTTCAGAAGACTTATGAATTTGCTGTAATTCACTTTGTAATACACTTCACTTTAGATATGACATTTGTATGAGTGCTCCAGATCAGAGCTGTCAACAGCATAAAGGCATTAACATTCAGGGGGCTTATGAATTTGCTGTAATTCACTTTGTAATACACTTCACTGTAGATATAAGATAATGAAACTTTTTTTAACTCCACCATATACAGGCGAGCCAAGTTGTTTCGTTACGACCTGGAGACAGTCCCTGCAGCCTGGAAGGAACGTGGGGCAGGCCAGTGTCAGATCCTGAAGCACAGAACCTCCGGTCTTATCCGCATCTTAATGAGGAGGGCAAACACCATGAGCATCTGTGCCAATCATTACAGTAAGATTTATGTCTCAAATCTATGCCAGTCATTAAAGTAAGATTTATGTCTCAAATCTATGCCAGTCATTACAGTAAGATTTATGTCTTCAATCTATGCCAGTCATTACAGTAAGATTTATGTCTTCAATCTATGCCAGTCATTACAGTAAGATTTCTGTCTCAAATCTATGCCAGTCATTACAGTAAGATTTATGTCTTCAATCTATGCCAGTCATTACAGTAATATTTCTGTCTCAAATCTGTGCCTGTCATTACTGTTATATTTATGTCTGCAGTCTGTGCCAATCAAAACTAATATTTCTGTCTCAAATCTATGCCAGTCATTACTGTAATATTTCTTTCTCAAATCTGTGCCAGTCATTACAGTAAGATTTATGTCTGCAGTCTGTGCCAATCAAAACAGTAAGATTTCTGTCTCAAATCTATGCCAGTCATTACTGTATCATTTATGTCTTCAATCTATGCAAGTCATTACAGTAAGATTTCTGTCTCAAATCTGTGCCAGTCATTACTGTAATATTTTTGTCTCAAATCTGTGCCAGTCATTACTGTAATATTTCTGTCTCAAATTTATGCCAGTTATTACAGTAATATTTCTGTCTCAAATCTATGCCAGTCATCACAATAAGATTTCTGTCAAAAATATATGCCGACCATCCCAAAAAGATTTATATATAAAATTTGTGCCAGTCATTACAGTAAGATTTTTGCCTAAAATGTATGCAAATAATCACAGTAAGATCTATTTCTGAAATCTATGCCTATTATTACAGTAAGATTCATGTCTGAAATGTGATCCAATCATTACTGTAATATTTATGTTGTGATTGCAACATACTCACAAAGCACAATGAGAAAGGTGGAAAGAGGTATGCTCTGTGCAGAGTGGCAAGCATCATTTTTGAAATGCAAGTTAGCTAGTGTTGATTGGATACTTTCTCTAGAGAATTTTGGTGTGCTGAATGATGAATAAGAAGCCGGATTGACTTGTTCTGCCTGCTTGTTGATGAACTAATTCATGACAAACTAGAATTGTTCAAGGTCCTCTTGGAGCAAACCGGGTTGACTTGTTCTGCCTCCTTGTTGATGAACTAATTCATGACAAACTAGAATTGTTCAAGGTCCTCTTAGAGCAGGCCGGATTGACTTGTTCTGCCTGCTTGTTGATGAACTGATTCATGACAAACTAGAATTGTTCAAGGTCCTCTAGGAGCAAGCTTGATTGACATGTTCTGCCTCCTTGTTGATGAACCGATTCATGACAAACTAGAATTGTTCAAGGTCCTCTAGGAGCAAGCTGGATTGACTTGTTCTGCCTGCTTGTTGATGAACTGATTCATGACAAACTAGAATTGTTCAAGGTCCTCTAGGAGCAAGCCGGATTGACATGTTCTGCCTCCTTGTTGATGAATTGATTCATGACAAACTAGAATTGTTCAAGGTCCTCTAGGAGCAAGCTGGATTGACTTGTTCTGCCTGCTTGTTGATGAACTGATTCATGACAAACTAGAATTGTTCAAGGTCCTCTAGGAGCAAGCCCGATTGACATGTTCTGCCTCCTTGTTGATGAACTAATTCATGACAAACTAGAATTGTTCAAGGTCCTCTTGGAGCAAGCCCGATTGACTTGTTCTGCCTCCTTGTTGATGAACTAATTCATGACAAACTAGAATTGTTCAAGGTCCTCTTGGAGCAAGCCGGATTGACTTGTTCTGCCTGCTTGTTGATGAGCTGATTCATGACAAACTAGAATTGTTCAAGGTCCTCTTGGAGCAAGCCCGATTGACTTGTTCTGCCTCCTTGTTGATGAACTGATTCATGACAAACTAGAATTGTTCAAGGTCCTCTAGGAGCAAGCCCGATTGACTTGTTCTGCCTCCTTGTTGATGAACTGATTCATGACAAACTAGAATTGTTCAAGGTCCTCTAGGAGCAAGCCCGATTGACTTGTTCTGCCCTTTGTTGATGAATTGATTCATGACAAACTAGAATTGTTCAAGGTCCTCTAGGAGCAAGCCTGATTGACTTGTTCTGCCTCCTTGTTGATGAATTGATTCATGACAAACTAGAATTGTTCAAGGTCCTCTAGGAGCAAGCTGGATTGACATGTTCTGCCTCCTTGTTGATGAACTGATTCATGACAAACTAGAATTGTTCAAGGTCCTCTAGAAGCAAGCATACAGTTCAGAAGCTCAAATAAATCATCCCGGTCTGAAGAGAATGATGCAGCAGCCAGTGACCAGGGGATGAAGGCAACACTTAAAATTCAGAGAAAAAGAGTTTGATACCAGTGGTACCAGTAGCAGTCTGATTATATGTCTGTCTTGCATTTCCTCTGAGCGTCAAATATCGGCCAGAGCCCTTTGTCACTCCTTGCTGCTCACTCTCACCAGACTGTGTTGATCAGTTTGCTGTTTCAAATTGTACACATGCTTTATCTGACTGCTCTGTTTCCAGTTTATCTGACTGCTCTCATTATCCAGTTTATCTGACTGCTTTCATTTTTCCAGTTTATCTGTCTGCTCTGTTTCCAGTTTATCTGACTGCTCTCTGTTTCCAGTTTATCTGACTGCTTTCATTTTTCCAGTTTATCTGACTGCTATGTTTCCAGTTTATCTGACTGCTATGTTTCCAGTTTATCTGACTGCTTTAATTTTTCCAGTTAATCTGACTGCTCTCAGTTTCCAGTTTATCTGACTGCTCTCAGTTTCCAGTTTATCTGACTGCTCTTAGTTTCCAGTTTATCTGACTGCTTTCATTTTTCCAGTTTATCTGACTGCTATGTTTCCAGTTTATCTGACTGCTCTGTTTCCAGTTTATCTGACTGCTCTCAGTTTCCAGTTTATCTGACTGCTCTGTTTTCAGTTTATATGACTGCTCTCAGTTTCCAGTTTATCCGACTGCTCTGTTTCCAGTTTATGTGACTGCTGTGATTCTAGCAATCTGACTGCTCTCAGTTTCCAGTTTATCTGACTGCTTTTATTTTTCCAGTTTATCTGACTGCTCTGTTTCCAGTTTATCTGACTGCTTTCTGTTTCCAGTTTATCTGACTGCTCTCTGTTTCCAGTTTATCTGACTGCTTTCATTTTTCCAGTTTATCTGACTGCTTTCTGTTTCCAGTTTATCTGACTGCTTTCTGTTTCCAGTTTATCTGACTGGTCACTGTTTCCAGTTTATCTGACTGCTTTCTGTTTCCAGTTTATCTGACTGCTGTCTGATTTCCAGTTTATCTGACTGCTTTGTTTACAGTTTATCTGACTGCTTTCTGTTTCCAATTTATCTGACTTGTCTCTGTTTCCAGCTTATCTGACAACTTTTTGTTTCCAGTTTATCTGACTGCTGTCTGTTTCTAGTTTATCTGGCTACTTTTTGTTTCCATTTTATCTGACTACTTTCTGTTTCCAGTTTATCTGACTGCTCTCTGTTTCCAGCCTAGCTGACTGCTTTCTGTTTCCAGTTTATCTGACTACTTTTTGTTTCCAGTTTAACTGACTGCTTTCTGTTTCAAGTTTATCTGACTGCTCTCTGTTTCAAGTTTATCTGACTGCTTTCTGTTACCAGTTTATCTGACTACTTTTTGTTTCCATTTTATCTGACTACTTTTTGTTTCCAGTTTATCTGACTACTTTTTGTTTCCAGTTTATCTGACTACTTTTTGTTTCCAGTTTATCTGACTGCTTTCTGTTACCAGTTTATCTGACTACTTTCTGTTTCCAGTTTATCTGACTGCTCTCTGTTTCCAGTTTAGCTGACTACTTTCTGTTTCCAGTTTATCTGACTACTTTCTGTTTCCAGTTTATCCTTACATGGAGCTCAAACCAAACTGTGGCAGTGACAGAGCTTGGTCTGGTCCACTGTAGCAGATTTTGCTGAAGCCAAGACCAGGGAGCACATCCTTGCCATCAGATTTACAAACTCTACAGGTATGTGGTTCTTCTTCTGTAGTTTATCCCCCAGTGGAGTATAGACCCTCAGCCAACTCACACCTAGTTGTCCTTTCTTTTGCTCACCCCTTCTCTTCCCTGTCCGTTTTACCTTTTAACAAGATTTTATTCTGTCATTATTCATGGTTGAGACTTTCAGTGCTAGGACTTTATAATTATTTTATCAGGTTTTCTTAATGTGTGTTTATCCAGTGCCAGTGTCTTTTCCTCAGCTCTTGATTCATGCAGATTTATTTGTTCTCCCTCAAAGCTCTACATTAGTGATTCTTTCATACCATTGAGTCCTCTGTATTGTACATAGTCACCTGTTAATGTATGTGTGTAGTTTGTTTATTATTTTAGTTGATTTCCATGTGGTATATATTTTTTCTCCTGTTTATATTATACCACTAATTGAAGATGGCACTTGCAGTGGACCCAGTGTCCAGCTCACTTATCTGCCAACTTGGAGGTCAGGCATTTGAATCCTCACTAGGATTTTGTTTAAACAGGCTTCAGCCCCTAGACTGTGCCATGTGGGTCAGCCCCTAGACTGTGCCATGTGGGTCAGCTCCTAGACTGTGCCATGTGGATCAGCTCCTAGACTCGGCCATGTGGGTCAGCCCCTAGACCCATTGACTTCTAGCTTTGCTATGTGGGTCAGCCCCTAGACTGTGCCATGTGGGTCAGCTCCTAGACTGTGCCATGTGGGTCAGCCCCTAGACTGTGCCATGTGGGTCAGCCCCTAGACTGTGCCATGTGGGTCAGCCCCTAGACTGTGCCATGTGGGTCAGCCCCTAGACTGTGCCATGTGGGTCAGCCCCTAGACTGTGCCATGTGGGTCAGCCCCTAGACTGTGCCATGTGGGTCAGCCCCTAGACTGTGCCATGTGGGTCAGCCCCTAGACTGTGCCATGTGGGTCAGCCCCTAGACTGTGCCATGTGGGTCAGCCCCTAGACTGTGCCATGTGGGTCAGCCCCTAGACTGTGCCATGTGGGTCAGCCCCTAGACTGTGCCATGTGGGTCAGCCCCTAGACTTTGCCATGTGGGTCAGCCCCTAGACTGTGCCATGTGGGTCAGCCCCTAGACTTTGCCATGTGGGTCAGCCCCTAGACTTTGCCATGTGGGTCAGCCCCTAGACTGTGCCATGTGGGTCAGCCCCTAGACTGTGCCATGTGGGTCAGCCCCTAGACTGTGCCATGTGGGTCAGCTCCTAGACTTGGCCATGTGGGTCAGCCCCTAGACTTGGCCATGTGGGTCAGCCCCTAGACTTTACTATGTGGGTCAGCCCTAGACTTGGCCATGTGGGTCAGCCCTAGACTTTACTATGTGGGTCAGCCCTAGACTTTACCATGTGGGTCAGATCCTAGACTGTGCCATGTGGGTCAGCCCCTAGACTGTGCCATGTGGGTCAGCCCCTAAACTTTGCTATGTGGATCAGCTCCTAGACTCGGCCATGTGGGTCAGCCCCTAGACTTTGCAATGTGGGTCAGCCCTAAACTCTGCTATGTGGGTCAGCCCCTAGACTTTGCTATGTGGGTCAGCCCCTAAACTTTGCTATGTGGATCAGCACCTAGACTCGGCCATGTGGGTCAGCCCCTAGACTCGGCCATGTGGGTCAGCCCCTAGACTTGGCCATGTGGGTCAGCCACTTAACTTAGCCATGTGGGTCGGCCCCCCAAACTTGGCCATGTTGGACAGCTTATAGACTCGGCCATGTGGGTTAGCCCCTAGACTTTGTCATGTGGATCCCTTCCATCTGGATCCCTCAGCCATCCCCTGACTACATAGACATCCTCCCACCCCAGCAGACATCCCCCCACACCAGGCGCACTCACTACTGTAATTACAATACTCAATATATATGTAAAGTTTTTTTCCTAATAAGTGTTCTGTGTAATACCGCCTTTTCCTCAAATCCTGATTCATGGGAATTTGTTTATCCCCAAAAGCACTCCATATTAGTGTTTCTGTCATACTATTGGGTCTCTAACATGAAAGCCCAAACGGCTCATTGTTAGGGATAGAAATAATGAAATAAATTATCACTCACATCAAAAAGAGTTTAGCATACTTTCTGTGTTCAAATTGTGATTTGGTTGACAAGAATTTATAATTGGGGAGGCTTATCTCATTTTTCAGATGGCAAAAAGTTCAAATCTGTGTTTGATTTATCAGCGGAGGAGATGAAGAAAATTCTGCAGACTAGAAAACTGACATCGGTCACAGAGGAGGAGAGAAGTAGGTGTTGTCTCAGCTTCAGTACAGGTCTATAAACTGTTTGATTGGTTGGTTTATTAGTTTTAACCCTTTTGCCCCTGGGAACACTAAAAAAGAATTAGACCCCGTTAGAATTTCAGAAAACAATCTTTTTACACAGGTCACTAATAAAATGTATAGATCTATATTAAAAAAAAAAATTATTTTTCGAAATATTTTAAGATGTATGAAAGGAGTAATCAACAAACATGAACAGGGTGAAGCAGTAAATGGAATAGATTCCCGTGGCTTACAAACACACACATATCGGGGACTCATGCTGTGACCCCTGACCTCTATCACTAAGGGTTAGGGGAAAATCTGATGTCAACTTGGCTTTGAAAAGGCATTTTAGCTCAAGGGAAACTTCTCTAAATGCTATTGTTAGTTAATATAGCTATATCAGGATATCTATCTCACAACACCAAGATCAAAATATATAAAATGTTAAGACCAGTTGTTTTATATGGCTCTGAAACTTGGAGCACAACTAAAAGAGATGAAGCTTTGTTACAGGTTTTCAAAAACAGTCTTACGACAAATCTTTGGACTCATCAAAGATGCAGACAGCAGGGAATGGAGAGTGAGAAGCAGTAACGAAATTCATAATCTATTTAAATCACCATTGATCACTGGCATCATGAGAGCTTATAGAAGGAAATGGTTAGGGTATATTAAAAGAATGTCAGATGACAGAGAAGTAAAACTCTATACACAAGGGAGATGAATGGTCGTAGACCACAAGGCAGACCAAGAAGAAGATGGAGAGAAAATGTCCAGACAGACCTGCAAACACTTGGTGTCACCAACTGGAAAGAGAAGGCCAGCCAGAGTGATGAGTGGAGACGGGTGATATATGCAGCAGTGAGCCTCAAGGGCTCTGAATGCTGAAGAAGAAGATATCAGGACATTTTAACCAGATTAAAATTACTAGATTTCAATAGAAAACATTAGGTGCAATTGTCAACATTACCAGACTCGGCTGCTGACAGTTGACCTCAACAAGCAGTGATGTGTAGACCATGTGGAAATTAAGGAGCTGAAAATATGAACTGTGAACAGAGGGAATAATAGAGTCCCTGGAAACCCCAATCATCATCATCTGCTGTGACAATGTAAGTGAAGGCTGTTTTGTTTTTCCATTTGACACAAAACATAATCATGGATCAAGTCAGATCTTGAGTTGTGTTGTTTGTGGAGTCCTGACCGGTTGTGGCATCTTGAGAAGGCACACCCCTCCCCCCTCCTCTTTCCCCAAATTTGCACACAAATGGGAACTTCCTTTTTTAAAAATAGATTTGGCTCATTTATTCCCTTTGCATCTCCAAGGGGCTTTGAAATTCTACCTGCACCCCCTAGGGACTCAACCGTTATTTCCTCTGCACTGCTAGGGGCTATTCCCTCTGCACCCATAGGGACGGTTGTTCCCTCTGCACTGCTAAGGACTGTTATTCCCTCTTCACCCCTAGGGGCTGTTGTTCCCTCTGCACCCCTACAGACTGTTATTCCCTCTCCACCCCTAGGGATGGTTGTTCCCTCTGCACTGCTAGGGACCATTATTCCCTCCCCACCTTTAGGGATGGTTGTTCCCTCTGCACTGCTAGCGACCGTTATTCCCTCCCCACCCTTAGGGACCGTTATTCCCTCTGCACCCCTGGGACTGTTATTCCCTCTGCACCTGTAGGGACCTTTGTTTACTCTGCACAGTTAGGAGCCGTTATTCCCTCTGCACCCCTAGAGACTGTTATTCCCTCTGCACTGCTAAGGACCGTTATTCCATTTGCACCCCTAGGTACCATTATTCCCTCTCCACCCCTTAGGGACTGTCTGTTATTCCTTCTGCACCCTAGGGGATTCTGTTATTCACTAAATACTCCTAGCGGCTATTTTTCTCTCTGCACCCCTACAGGACTTCTGTTATTCCCTCTGCACCCCTATGGGACTTTGTTATTCCCTCTGCACCCCTACGTGACTTTGTTATTCCCTCTGCACCCCTACAAGACTTTGTTATTCCCTCAGCACCCCTACAGGACTTTGTTATTCCCTCTGCACCCTTACGGGACTTTATTATTCTCTCTGCACCCCTACAGGACTTTGTTATTCCCTCTGCACCCCTACAGGACTTTGTTATTCCCTCTGCACCCCTACAGGACTTTGTTATTCCCTCAGCTCCCCTACAGGAGTTTGTTATTCCATCAGCACCTTGACACAACAAGGTACACAAGGAGCATGATAAGGTGCAGTATTAATGATTCCTTCTGGTTTTCCCCAAATGATTTCAGGTGAAAGCAGTGAGAATGAACACAGTGATGCAGAAGAAAAAGATGTCCCAACTCCAGACAGAATTGCGCCAAAGAAGACATCAGATGAGTTGACTGGACAACTTAAAGGCCTCACAGTAACAGCTTCAAACATTGCACAGCTGGCTTCTGCATCTTGCTAGATTTTGTTTTGAAAACATCAATATTTTTGTTGTTGCAGTGATCAGTGACTGTTTTTATGGTTTGCAACAGATCTGCCAGTTTGTTGCATATATTTAGCAGAGGCGGATTTCGCACTTCGCTCATTAATTAGTAATTTTTGTTCTTCTATTATGGAAAAAAAAAAATTAGCTTAGGTATGTTTTGCATTCATTTTTGAATTTTTAAAGCAGTCACAGATTTGTCATTTTGTTGCTTTTTCAGTGAGGATGTTTGTAATGTAGTCACAGATGTTCGTTTTTGTCCATATATTTGTAGTGTTTTTATTTTTGGGTGTAGTTACAGATATTTTCATCGTTAGGTATTTATTTATGGTTATATTTGTAGTGTAGCCACAGATTCACATTGGGTAGGAAAGTGGCATCAGGTGGGAGAGTCGGCAAGAGATGGAGTTTCTTTCAGACAGACCGATAAGAGCATCACTCTACAAAGGATCTGTCACGTGTTGATGATAACCCATAGATATGTGTTTTATTTTATTTACTAGTGGCTGTTTATATAGTGTAACAGATCTTTTTGTTTCATTTGCCATTTACAAGTGGCTGTTTATATAGTGTAACAGATCTTTTTATTTTTTTTTTGCTGTTTACTAGTGGCTGTTTATATAGTGTAACAGATCTTTTTAATTTTTTTTTTTCAGTTTACTAGTTGCTGTTTATATAGTGTAACAGAACTTTTTGTTTCATTTGCCATTTACTAGCCGCTGTTTATGTAGTGTGTATAGATCTTTTTGCTTTCATTTGCCATTTACTAGTGGCTGTTCATATAGTGAAACAGATCTTTTTTGTGTGTGTGCTATTTACTAGTGGCTGTTTATATAGTGTAACACAGATGTTTTTGTTTTAATTTGCCATTTACTAGTGGCTGTTTATATAGTGTAACAGATCTTTTTGTTTTCATTTGCCATTTACTGGTGGCTGTTCATATAGTGAAACAGATCTTTTTTGTGTGTGTGCTATTTACTAGTGGCTGTTTATATAGTGTAACACAGATGTTTTTGTTTTAATTTGCCATTTACTAGTGGCTGTTTATATAGTGTAACAGATCTTTTGGCTTTCATTTGCCATTTACTAATGGCTGTTTATATAGTGTAACAGATCTTTTGGCTTTTCTTTGCCATTTACTAGTGGCTGTTTATATAGTGTAACAGATCTTTTTTTTTTTTGCAGTTTACTAGTTGCTGTTTATATAGTGTAACAGATCTTTTTGTTCTCATTTACTGGTGGCTGTTTATATAGTGTAACAGATCTTCTTTTTTGTGTGTGCTGTTTACTAGTGGCTGTTTATATAGTGTAACAGATCTTTTTGTTTCATTTGCTATTTATTAATGGCTGTTCAGATCTTTTTGTTTTCATTTGTTATTTTCTAGTGGCTGTTTATATAGTGTAACAGATCTTTTTGTTTCATTTGCTATTTACAAGTGGCTGTTTTTATAGTGTAACAGATCATTTTGTTTCATTTGCCATTTTCTAGTGGATGTTTATATAGTGTAACAGATCTTTTTGTTTCATTTGCTATTTACTAATGGCTGTTTATATAGTGTAACAGATCTTTTTGTTTCATTTGTTATTTTCTAGTGGATGTTTATATAGTGTAAAAGATCTTTTTGTTTAATTTGCCATTTACTAGTGGCTGTTTATATAGTGTAACAGATCTTTTTGTTTCATTTGTTATTTTCTAGTGGATGTTTATATAGTGTAACAAATCTTTTTGTTTCATTTGCTATTTACTAGTGGCTGTTTATATTGTGTAACAGATCTTTTTGTTTCATTTGTTATTTTCTAGTGGATGTTTATATAGTGTAACAGATCTTTTTGTTTTATTTGCTATTTACTAGTGGCTGTTTATATTGTGTAACAGATCTTTTTGTTTCATTTGTTATTTTCTAGTGGATGTTTATATAGTGTAACAGATCTTTTTGTTTCATTTGTTTTTTTCTAGTGGATGTTTATATAGTGAAGCAGATCTTTGTTTCATTTGTTATTTTCTAGTGGATGTTTATATAGTGGAACAGATCTTTTTGTTTCATTTGTTATTTTCTAGTGGATGTTTATATAGTGTAACAGATCATTTTGTTTCATTTGTTATTGTCTAGTGGATGTTTATATAGTGTAACAGATCTTTTTGTTTCATTTGTTATTTTCTAGTGGATGTTTATATAGTGTAACAGATCATTTTGTTTCATTTGTTATTGTCTAGTGGATGTTTATATAGTGTAACAGATATTTTTGTTTTTATTTGCCATTTATTATTAGCTGTTTCTGGTAGTGTAGCAAGAGATCTGTCAGTGTGTTCCAATTAACAGTGGCTGTTTTTGCTATTTGTTAATTTTTTTTGTTTGGCTATCTTTGTTGTTTGTAGCAGTTATCGGTGGCAATCTTTTGGTGTTTAGCCACAGATGTGTCATTTTTTTCTTCTTAATTAAGGACTGCTTTTCTAGTGCATATTTCAGTTGCAGTTTTTCTAGATATAACCACAAACTTGTATTTATGTAATTTATCAGTGTTTGTAATTTGGCCGCAGATTTATATTAATTTTATTTATCAGTGGCAGTTATTTCTATTGTAGCCACAAATTTATAATTTGTTTCATTTGTCAGTTGAATCTGTTTCTGTTGTGCCACAAATTTATATATTTATTTAGTTTTTGAATGGTCCCCTATTGCCTTTTACCTCTCACTGGAGCACAGGCTATTACCTAACCCAGGTCAAAGACCCCTGTCCATTACTGCTTCCTGCGGCTTCTTCCATGTTCTCTGGCTTTTTTCTCAAATTCTCTTCTCTTTGTTTAATTAAAAAAATGTATCTTTCGTTTCTTTGACTGTTTGCATCCCAGATAAAGCATTATCAACAGGTTCATGCTTTTCTAAGGAATAAAAAGCCAGCCAAAAAGTAGCGGCAATCAGTTTCACCTAATCACAAACACCAAGTAGTGAACATTGCTGCTAACGAGCCTTCATCAGCACATCACATGAATATACAATACCACAAATACGAACCAAAATTCACAGATCATTTTTCTGAAGTATCTCTGAGAGGAATCAAATATCACTCTGGCCTGTTTAATCTCTGACATGTGTGTGACTACCAGAAATAAATACTTGCCAGAAAAAGCTGCGATTAACATGGGCCGTAACTACAAAATACTTACATAGTTGCCTCCAGTCCTCTTGTTTCCCTGAATTGTTTTTCATGTCATTGTTGTAGATTTTTTTTAAACTAAAGTTTTTTGAAGGATGAAAATGCATTCTGAAGCCATTCATACATAGTGGCCTTTTATGACATGCATGCTTTGCTAAGTTTTAACTTTTTCTTCTCCTCCTCCTCCTTATTCTTCTCCTTCTCTTCCTTCTCCCCCTTCTTCTTTTCCTCCTTCTTCTGCTCCTCTGCCTTCTCCTTTTTCTTCTTCTCCTCCTTCTCCTCTAGTCACATTTTGGCTTTCAGTGTCAGGTTTTATAGGTGTTGGGTATTAGACATGCTATTGGCAACTTAGATGCTAGTTTTTACGACCTCAGATATTCCCATCTATCCACGGCTTGCCTGGTCGACCTCTAGATCGGACTCTCTCATGTTTGACTGGCAGGGCTCGCTGTGGTGCACTGTCTGGTTGTAGTCATGACACATGTCCAGACCATGTAACCTGTTGTCTGCTGATGTAGTTCTGTCTCTCAGCTTACTATTATTTGTTGCATTTAAGGTTTAAGGGGAAAAAAACTGATGAGTTTTGGAACTGTAGCCACAGATGTATTAGTTTGTTGCATGAAAGGGTTGTGGATATGAACTGATGAGTTTTTGGAACTGTAGCCAGAGATGTATTAGTTTGTTGGATGTAAGGGTTGTGGATATGAACTGATGAGTTTTGGAACTGTAGCCACAGATGTATTAGTTTGTTGCATGTAAGGGTTGTGGATATGAACTAATGAGTTTTGGAACTGTAGCCTCAGATGTATTAGTTTGGTGTGTTTAGATATTTTGAAAGCAGTAGTAGTAATTTATACACTATCCTGTTCCACACATCTGGGTTAAAATTGCGTTATTTTTTTTTTGTTCTATTGCTGTATTGGATATTTATATTTAATAATTACCTTTGGTTATTTAAGCCCTCATTGGTTGTGTGTCATTTGTTACATTTAGAAACAATTCAGTAAATAAAACAATGGTGTGGGTACTCCCCACAGTGTGTATTACAATGGTGCAGTCACATTTTTTCTTTAAAAAGGAGCAGCATATCGCCAGCAAAAAAGCTAGGTGTATATATTTGTTTTGTTTATGTTTTACATAATCATATTATTCATATCATGTAATCTATCCTTGAGAATATTTAGTGTGATCTGGGATAGCATTATTCTGTCTTATGATATATTAATACCTCATATTCAAACCTCTTTTCTAGCGGTGTACTCCTGGCTTTTTCTCTAGTAACAAGAGTTCCAGTACTCATCACAGTGTCTTTTAAAAAAAAAGTGACGGCACTCACTGTGAAGTATCTGTTGCAGAAATGGTATTTTTTAAGAAAAACAATACCTTACAAAGGTGCTGACTAGACACACACCACACCCCCCCCCCCCCCCCCCCACCCCCACCCCCACCCGTAACAAGCATGTGGTACATGTAAAGTGGATATGCACACAAAACTAATGTCTAGAAGCAGATGAAAAATCGGGACTTTCCTCTTTGACTTTACAGCTGATAAACATAAAGACAAATAATCCAAGCAATTCTCAGTTAGGCAGTGCAGTTTTTGTTGTTGCAGCAGAGACAAACATCCTAACTGGCACTGTGCGTGTGCTGACTGCATCAACCATATCACCCTCAATCCTCAGACTCAGTACCAGCTTGCTCCCTTCTCCGGTCCTTTACCATCCTAAAAAGTCATATATTCTACCAGTTAGACAGTCTAAGTTTATTGTCACCAGGGTGGCATTCATCATCATGTACCCTGCCAAATGGCATAGGCCTGCATG